AGAATGGCTTGGCTGTTTCATAGCGAGAACAGTGGGCGAGAGAGAGAGAGAGAGAGAGAGAGAGAGAGAGTCGTAACGTGACATGATGCCATAATTGCCCGGCACGTTCTAAGCTCCCTTGTGGGTCCCATGTACAGCTGTGGCGATGTGTGCCCATATGCCTTGCCTACTCTCCACTTCTTCCTACCACCTCATCTTATTACCACAGCCCCTTATTATAACCCTCCTCGCATAAAGATGACAGTACAACGTAATGTGGTCTCTATCAACTATCAATCCCATCCATTTCAAGCTCTGCGGCTAATTAATATATTGTTACCGATGTGCTATACTAATAGTTCATAAAGCCTGCAAATCTTGTCTTACAACTCTCCTCCTCTCCCTCGCTGCCTCAAGTCGCACCACCTTTGGGTTTTAACTATTGTTAGGCAGCAAAGCAAAGTAAGCCTCTGACAGCGCAGCATCTCATTATGTTTTGTCATTTCCCATCACCATCGTCATCATCATCATCCATCTTCTCTTCTGCTACCTCCACCCTGACCTCGTTTCTTTACTATTCCTTCCTTGTTACATATCATCTGTGCATCTCATATATATGGTGTTTTAGCAGTCTTTTTCTTGGTTTTTTTTTTGCTTTGCCTACACCCTCCCTTTGCCTCTTCTCTCGACCTTTCTTTCTCTTCTGCAAGCTCTCGTTTTTATTGTTTTCGCTCCATGTACTGATTCCTGCAATCCCCACCGCCAGTACCTCCTCTTCTCTATCTCTTGCCCCACTGAGGGAGGGGCAGAGAGGAAGAGGGAGTTCAGTTGGCAACACTAGTAATAGAAGAACTTGTAGTAACTGCCCAAAAAGGCGTTGTCGAGAGCTGAAAGGGGAAACAATTTGCAGCGCCATGCAGCAGCAACCACAGCAACAGCAGCAGCCGCCGCCGCAGCTGCAGCAGCAGGGCGGGTCCCAATTCGGTGCCGATATGGCCCCATTCGCGTCCTCGGGGGCCAGCCCCCCGGCTCACGTGCTCCAAATCCCCGGCGCCGGCCCCCTCCATCCGCCGCCGCAGCCGTCGTCGCAGCTGGTGGAGTCCGCGCCGGCGCTCGTCAGTCGTCGGCCCCCGGCACCCACGGATGCAGCCAATTTCGATGAGCTGGCCCCCGCCGTGGCCGGGGGCTTTCACGACGATGAGGCTCTCACCGTCGGCTACGAGGCCGAGCGCGGTGGGACGCCCGGGAGCCGCTGGCCGCGGCAGGAGACGCTCGCGCTGCTCAAGATCCGCTCCGAGATGGACGCCGCTTTTCGAGACGCCACCTTTAAGGGTCCTCTCTGGGAAGAAGTCTCCAGGTAAAAGCCACATTCAATTCACACCGCTGCGTACCTTCCTTCAAAATGCGGTGTCTTAAACTCCTCCCTCCTCCTCCTCCTCCTCGTGTGATGCTGCCCGTGTCCCGTGAAAAGAGAGATCACTGACCTCCGGAGAGTCTTCGACGGTTTTCTTGGGATCTAGTTCACCAGCTTCGGGTGCAGAATTCTTAGAGACAGCTCTCAGTTTCGTACCACGGATTCAACTGTAGCACTGATGTAAGGCTTCAGGTTTTGCCTCAGAAGGAAACTGAGAGAGAGAGAGAGAGAGAAGATGGGTGGGGAGGAGGGGGGAAGGGGGGCGCGGTGTTTTCCCCAACTCATGCCTTCTTCTCTCTTTCTCGTTAATGTATCTGAGTACTAGGGGGAGGAACCACCCCTGCATCGATCCCGAGCTAACTTGTGAGAGCAGTTTTAGAACACCGGCCGATGACGACTAAATGCAAAACGCATGCACTCCGATCAGCTCAGTGCAGCCATCGAGGCGCATCTATTGTTTGTTTTAGTTTTTGTTCTCCCCACCTATTCCTTGGAGCTCTTTTCTTCTTATCTAATTCGTTGATTGAAGTCATGATGGTCAAAATCTTTGGGTGTTAACGCATAGCCTCTTCTAGCTGTTGTTTAGTACTCCTTTCTCATTTTATCCTCCTCTTGCTGTGGGTTTTGGTTGGCAGGAAGCTAGCGGAGTTGGGCTACAAGAGGAGCGCGAAGAAGTGCAAGGAGAAGTTCGAGAACGTACATAAGTACTACAAGCGCACCAAGGACGGCCGAGCCGGCCGCCAGGACGGCAAGACCTACCGCTTCTTTAACCAGCTCGAGGCTCTCCACAGCAGCGGTGGAGGCGGCGCCACCACGCCCACCGTGACACCTGCCATGCTTCTCACTACCACCTCCCCAGCCCAGATTAGCTTCACCACCGCCCCGGCGGGCCCCCCAGCTACTAGAGTCCAAGCTTCGTCTGTCTCCGCCGCGGCCCCACCGCCCGTCGCGACGCCATCTTGGGTCGTACCTGACCTTGGACCACAAGCGAACTCGAGTTTGGCTGCAGCGGGGATCAGCTTCTCGTCAGATTCGACCTCCTCTTCGTCGTCGGAGTCCGACGACGAGGAGACGGAAGATGCCGGCGAGAGTCGGGAAGGACGGAAGAGGAAGCGCAGTGGGGGGTCGAGGGCCAGACAGCAGATGATGACCTTCTTCCAGGGCCTGATGCGGCAGGTGATGGAGCGGCAGGAGGCCATGCAGCAACGATTCTTGGAGGCGATCGAGAAAAGAGAGCAGGACAGGTTGATCCGAGAGGACGCGTGGCGGCTGCAGGAGATGGCGCGACTCAGCCGAGAGCAGGAGTTGCTTTCCCAAGAGCGCGCTATGGCGGCGTCCCGAGACACTGCGGTCATTTCCTACCTTCAAAAGATCAGCGGCCAACCCGTCACATCATCGTCTGCCGTTCCGGCCAGTGCCGCTGCCATCTCCCTCACACCACTCCCTCTGCCGCCGTCGCACGCTCCGCCCCCGCCACAGCCACCACCTCAGCAGCAACAGGAACACCAGCAGAAGCAAGGGGATCGGCATCACACGCCAAAACCCGACGTCACGGCGACGCAGCGGGTGACCGTCAGCTCGGAGCCCGAAGAGGGTCATTGCTTCGAGCCAGTGTCGTCCTCGAGGTGGCCCAAGGAGGAGGTACACGCGTTAATTAAGCTTCGGAGCGGGCTCGGGTCGAGGTACCAGGAGGCTGGGCCCAAGGGTCCGCTTTGGGAGGATATCTCCGCCGGAATGCATCGGCTAGGGTACAACCGTAGCGCCAAGAGATGCAAGGAGAAGTGGGAAAACATCAACAAGTACTTCAAGAAGGTGAAGGACAGCAACAAGAAGCGGCCGGAGGACTCGAAGTCCTGCCCCTACTTCCACGAACTTGAGGCACTCTATCGTAAGAAAACGCTAGGTAGTGACATCGCCGCAGGCGATCCTGGTGGCGGCAGCAGTGCGGTCGGTCAACAGAAACAGGAGCAAGACACCAATCCCAGCCCACTAGGACAGCAGCAGCAGCGGCATCCGGCTGTGGCCGAAGGCCAGAATGGCGACAACAACAAGAACAACAGAAGTGGTGGGAATCCTGAGGCTGGAGGAGGGTCCACAGTTGTACAAGTGCAAACGAGAAATGGACAACAGCCACCGAGCTTCCCTGATCAAGAAGGAACGATGAAGGTAAGAAAGGCTTCATTCCTATTGCTAATCATACACGATTCAGTAATAATTTCAGATACCATTGGGTTTGAAGCCAGAAGACGTTGTGAAGGTACCGACGGAGCAAAGGCACCCGCCGGCCGTGATGGATGAACACTACAAGATGGACAAGCCCAGCAGCGATAATCTGGACCAAGATGACGACTACGAGGACGAGGACGACGAGGATGAGGTGCAGTACAAATTACAGTTCCAGCGGCAGATACCCAGCGGCGACACCGCGATTGCAACGACAGCGGCAGCTACAGCGACTGCATCAGGCACCTTCTTGGCCATGGTTCAGTAGCCTTTCGTCAAGTACCGCCATGCACGTCCACACCTTGCCATCTGCATCTTAACATCACAAATACTACCTCCTCAGTGGTTCGATATATCAGAGTTCTACAGTCCTTAGCTATTCATTGATTTGTTGTGGAATAACAATCCTTTCTCCCGGCCGAGCGCAGTAATAAGCTTAAGCAAGCAGCTCTTACAAGAACACACAGGCAGCGAATTCGTCACCGGGGGCGGGGAGTGCTGAAGAAACTGGTCGTACATCCACACACACTGCCTCTGCATGCATCTCGATCTCCCTTTCTGTACTCTCTTCCACAACTACAGAAGAGGTTTCCTGATGGTAGTTTGCACTCTTAAGATGTATATTTCCTTTTTCTTACTGTCATTATTGTTCAGTCTGGATTGTCTCTGTAATCCCCTCGGCATACTTTATGAATAAGGTCATTTTTTAAAGCTTTTCCCCTTAAATATCATTCATGTAATCACCTTACAGTGTGAGTTCAAAAAGTTACGGTGATTGCAGCAGACACCAGGAATGCTTATGTGGCTACCCAAGCTAGCCTAATTCACCAAGAATCGAGCTTAGTCAATGAGGCCCGAGTCCGAGAACGCAGCTCCGAGTTAGGACTCATGTCGCGTTGGGTCGACCCGTACGCCACCGAGTTGTGGCCCAGCATGAGACAGGCCTTATATGCAAAGCACACCAATGGAGAAGTAGAAATTGGTGCTTCGCATGATCCAATTTGGCTCTTATTATGTTTGAATTCAATTCTATACTTACCGTTGCCTAAATAAAACCCGATTCGATTTAGAACTGCCCAACAAATAAAAATAAGCTTCCGATCTCGGCCCCCCCTCTCTTCCTCCTCGTCTTCGTCCGCCTCTGCATCCGTGGTGTAGATTTTGATCGACTTCCGGGCCATTTCTTGGGCGCTCGCCTCCGTGGTGTTGGATGGAGGCTATTAGGAAGCAGGCCTCCAAATTCAGGGAGCAGGTCGCCAGGCAGCAGCAGGTAATCCACGCTTCCTGGATCTTTCTTCATCTCCCCCTCTCGTTGTTGCCGTCTGGCGTTCTGGCTTTGGTTCGTCTCGCTTGCGTTTCGATTCAAGCTGATTTGCTATATCTAGGGCGCCGATTGGCGAATCTCGAGAAGGTTACTTTTTGGGGGTTGATTTGTTCTTCACCAAATTGTTTACATTGCATGGTTAACGCGATCAAACACTGTTGAAGGATGGCCGTTTTTGTTGAGCTTTTTGGCGTTAGATTCTCGTAGCCTTTTTTGAATTTGACGGGAGCCGTGATCACGATCAAGGGACGTTCCGGTTGATGTTTCTTGCTGCCCATCCTGTTGTGTTTTGCTCGATATGGACAATGATTTCTCCGACTTCAAAATTACAAGAAAATGGCAACTCGTTAATTATTTTGGTGATAACCCTAAATGAGAATAGCGGATGATTCCAAGACCCCCAAGTATGGAAATCTGATTGGATCTGGAAAATTCATGTTTGAATAATTTTTGTGCTCTGCAGGGATTCTAAATCTTATAAGAACGAGACATATATCTGTTTTACCTTGATCTTATGATGTCACTAGGATCGTAACTGAGAATAGCCAACGATACTTTGTTGCTTTGTTGCTATTTCCACGCAGGAGCCCGGAGACCAACAAAAACTTTCCTATTGTCTGTGCTATATTGCAAAATTCACCTTAGCAATTATGCTTGTGCATTTATTTAGACTTGTCTAGGACCTATTTTTGCTGATGATCGCTCAACCTAGCTGCCTTCTTTTTTAGATATTGACATTTTCTCAAGGGCTCGGCAATTGATGACATTATTTGTTCTCTTTTTGTAGGTTTTCATCATTCCATAAGTTTTCCTTTGTGTACCTTCATTTCATATTAGGTTTTCTTTTTCTTTTGGAGACTCATGACTGTGTCCCTGATTTATCTCATTTGCAAATACCCGTTTCTCTTCTTAGATCACTAAAACTCTGTGTAAATTATCTATAGTTGGCTATTGTGTTACACTGGATGTTAGAAGAATCATATGTTTTTTTCTACACTTACAAACATAAGGAAAGTCTCGCATTCTGTTATTGTAGCCAAGTTCATCACAGATTACAGAAGAATACACCTTTAGCAAAGTATGATGTACACGGACTCATGGTCACTGCATCATTTATTTGGACTTCTCTATGGTCTAGTTCATAAGTTGAACATATGTGTCACCTTTCTTCCATGTCTCAACAATAAGCAATTTATCTGCTTGCATGAATTGGGAATGTTTGCTGAAAGTATCATATCATATTTGTGGATATAAGCAACATCTTAATTCCAGTTGTTGCATCTACAGGCTGTTTTCAAGCAATTTGGAGGTGGTGGATATGGAAGTTCTGATAGTATATTTTCAGATGCAGCGGAATATCAGCAGCACCAAAAATTAGAAAAGCTTTACATATCAACTCGAGCTGCCAAGGTTGAAGGCCCTCTACTTTTTTTTTCTTCTTCTCCATTGTCTTTTCTTACCTTTTTGTGTAAAAGCCTCTTGATCATTTTCTTCCAGCATTTTCAAAGGGATATAGTGCGTGGTGTGGAAGGATATATCGTCACAGGGTCCAAACAAGTTGAAATAGGTAGTCTTCTTAATTATGTGTTTGTTTTAACAAGTTGAAATAGGTAGTCTTCTTAATTATGTGTTTGTTTTCCCTTCTGCTTGTTCATCTATTGTTATTTTTCATGAAAGCCAAAGTTCATTTTTCACAATAGTCATACTACTATTTTTGCTAAAGTAATACATCTTGTTTCTAATCAAGTCCACGTTGCATAGGCAATAAATTATCTGATGATAGTAGGAAATATGGTGTTGAGAACACCTGCACTAGTGGGAATACACTATCGAAAGCTGCTTTATGTTATGCGAGAGCTCGTGCACAAATGGAGAATGAACGCGGCAATCTACTGAAAGCTCTTGGTTCCCAGGTTTTGTGATTCACTTGTTCCCCTTGTTATACAATACTTTCATGCTCTTCTAGTAATCTTGTCGGAATTATTGGGTCATAGAATTGATACAGTTCTGTCCAAAAATATTTGCTTTTCTTGTTTAAAGTTGTAATGCTTTTTACCTTTTTTCTTTATGTGGTGGATGTAAAGGTGACTGTCAATTTGCATCCGATATTGTGCAAACTGGCTGATGATTATTCATCTGACTTGTTATCACTAGCCATTCTAATAACTACTTTTGCCTTCTTCGTTTCTTGCACATAGTTGGTTTCTACTTGCATAAATTATCCCTGCTCACACGTTGCACCTTTTATAGAGCACATTTGACATGTTGCCAAATATGGTTACTGTATTCATTTATTATTGGTTTTTGACTTCAGGTTATTCCAAAAGCCTTTTAATTTACTTGTGCCTAGTAAATCCTTATTGTAATCACTTTAACTCCATAGTATTTACAATTATGACCAATTTGGTCTCTTGTCCATCATGCCCTTTTAACATGAGCAAGGCCTTGGTTCAATTTGGATTTCATATATTTAACTCTTGTTGAACCTAAATTTCAATTTGTAGCTCTAATTCACCTAATGGATTGTACTTCTTGATTATGTACATGCTGTAGTTTTGGATGCAATTCACTTTTATTTTTTCTCTCACTCTCTTTCTCTCTCTTCCTCAATGTCTTTGAAAAACTGTAAATGACAAATAGCCAAATAGATGCAAGATAGCTGTTTAGCAACCAAAGCTGTTCAAAAGGTAATTAAAAGTATATAAATATGATATATACTAAAGATTCAGGACAACGAATAGTTTGAATTTATATTAAACTTTAGGTGAGTCAACAGAACATGGAAAATATCTGAATTTCCTGCTTCTGTGCACGTTAATGGTCTCTTCCTTGAGTGCCAAATGAGTGACAAGTAAAAAGAAGCTGAGAATTTGGAAGATGGAGACTGAAAGAAAATTCATATTTACCATGAACATGTGACTTAATGCTTATTGTTGGAGCCATTAGGGAGTTGGCTACTTAGCATCCCTCTTTACTTCGTTAGACTGGTATTTCCATTTTACTTCATTTGCCAATTAGTTCTCATTTTCTGTAGTTGTGCACATATGTAAGTTCTGCAGATCTTTCTATATTGGAGTTCCTGAGAATTAGTGATGGTTATATAAATTCAATGCTGTCTGACACTATTTGTGCATTGCTAGATGCTTCCAGTCAAATGATCTTATGCTGGAATAAAACTTTCCTTTCTAGGTTGCAGAGCCACTAAGAGCCATGGTAATGGGTGCTCCATTGGAAGATGCTCGACACCTTGCCCAAAGATATGATAGGGTGCGCCAGGAAGCTGAAGCTCAGGTAATCCTGTTACAAACTGGTAGATTATGCTTCTATTGGATGTTTCTGTAGACACCTGTGCATTTATCACTATTGATCAACCTTGGTTTCTTTAGTTACTTGTATTGTTTTTATGAATTGTAACTTGTATCTCCAATTTTTTCACTTTTCAATTGGATTTATTTTCATACATATACAACAAAAATATGAAATTACATAACTTCTTGAAAGAGATGGAAATATTATGCATTTACTTTGATTAAATTACTTTATCGTACGTAACTTTTTGAAAGGTCTAGCATGCAATCACTCATACCTCTTGAATAGTCATACTATATGATTTGACTTCATCTACATAGTATTTCTATCTTTTAACAGTTCAATATTCAATTACAGAGATGTCATGGGGGTATTTATGCACTGCTTGAATCCTAAACTAAGCACCATGGAATTTAGTGATGCAATGGTGCATAATAGATACTGTATCTATGCATGTACATTTCCTCTTTCCAACTGGACTTCGAAGTAGACACAGTCACAGTACATGTATCTATGCAATCAACCTCTACATTTGGAGACTCTTGAAATCCATAACACATGGATGGATGGTATATATATATATATATATATATATATATATTGTAATCCATATTGTATATTGTATATGTGAGCCTCTTCTACTGTTTGTAGAATGGATATGCAATTTACTTACCTAGTAATACAAAAATCTTACCACTAGGTTTTTTAAATGGGTATGAAAATGGTATGCTTAACAATTGCCAAAATGCTCATCCTACCCAATTTCATGATTTTTTTCTCGATGTATGTAAGATAAGTGGCTAAAAGAATTTGTGAACTTGCAACTTGCAACCAAGATTCTAGGGTACGAATTTGATGTCCATGGTTGTGTATTGCATATTCCACATGCAATTTCTTAACTGTTGTGGCCACCTTGGCAGGATAAGCCTCTTAGGTGATTGGGAGAAAAGCATCTTAACAGGAAGGCATCGAATAGGCAAATGTTGGTTTTTTAGGCACACTGAGTCTCCGTATGGATGCGATTTTAGTGCTGAAGTTTTCATTGAATATACCTTGTCTCAAGACCTTTTCCTTCATTTGGTGCTGTAATTCTCCATCTTAATATGGACAAACTTCAAGCTCTAAGTATTTTAATGAACTTAAAGCTATAGTTATTTAAAGCGGAAAGTTTATTTTTTTGTAACACCAGAAAGTCTATCTACAAAACTCCCTTGTTTGAAGATATACTTGATTCCCAACAGGCAATTGAAGTTTCAAAGCGCCAAATTAAAGTAAGAGAAACTGTTGGCAGTGGTGATAACATTTCAAAGCTAGAAGCTGCTGAAGCCAAGCTACAAGAACTAAAATCTAGTATGGCAGTATTGGGTAAGGAAGCTGTTGCAGCAATGACTGCTGTGGAAGCCCAACAACAAAGATTAACCTTACAGCGGCTTATTGCTATGGTATTATCTTTATTTATGCCTCCAATTATCTAGATTTCATGTTGCTATTCTTTGCTTCATGTCTAACTTGCAAATTTTTCCTTCCACAGGTCGAATCAGAGCGCACTTACCATCAGAAGGTCCTACAAATTCTTGAACAACTTGAAGCAGAGGTACACTAGAAAGCCACTGCTGTTTAGTCAAATCAATATATTCTTTCTCTTGCCAAATTTACATTATACATGCATTAGCTGTATATAGAAATTTTCTAGGTGGAGAAACAAACTAACTTGTTTGACTCTGCTGATGGATTTGATTCATAGATGCTATCTGAGCGTCAAAGAATTGAAGCATCTCCAAGTCCAGCCTCAGAAAACTTTATGCCGCCTCCACCATCATACGAAGAAGCCAATGGCATGTTTACAAACTCAACTGTCGATGGATTAACAGAATCTGTGGAATACTTTTTAGCTGAGGTAATTAAAATGACATGTATGTCCATTTCTTATGAAGTTGTGTTATAACAGTCATTAGGTAGTTTGAAAAGCTTTGCTGTCCTGACTTATGTGCATATATGTATATTCTTTGTACTGCAAGGTAATTCATTCATATCAGGCTGAGACAGATGTGGAGCTTAATCTTTCTGTTGGCGACTATGTTGTTGTACGTAAGGTACAGAAGTTCTTCAAATGCTTTCTACTTCCATGTTATACATTGACTTCGCGGGGTCTCTCTCTCTCTCTCTCTTCTTCCCTCCTGTCTCTCTAGTTTTTACCTATGCAAATTGCGCAAAAAGAATATGGTATTTCGATGGTTCGCGGAAAGTTCATTGGGATTAAAGATTTCCATGATGAATAGAAAGTACTCAAATTAAGTTTTCTTAACTAATGGTCTTGTTCCAGCATAATTTTATTTGAAATGAGAATCTTTAATTTGTGAGCTCAGATTATTTGGAAGCTTACCATCGGCTTATTGACTTATTTGTATCTTTAAGATGAATTACATTTTTCCTTGAGCATAGGTTGTCAGTTTCTGGTTTTCTTTTCTTATAAATTCTTCCCAAGGACAAAAGTGTTGGCTGCAGGAGCTCAAGTTGTACTCAAAAGAGTAGACATCCTAAATTTGATCCAATCCATAAATCGTTGCTTTGTTGAGTTTAGGAGAATAAAAATATGAGAATAAGAGCAAAATTATGACTGAAAAAGAGTTTAAGAAAGTTTAAGAGATTGTGAGAGTGAAATCAATTAAAAGAGGGGAGAAGGAAAGGGTTTAAAAACCCTTTAGGTTACCTCCAACGGTCAAATTAACCATTTGAAACCCGATATAGGTCGATTACGGTTGGTTTCGATCGTTACCGCTCGGTACAAGTCGATAACGGTCAGATTTTGACTGTTACCGTCCAATACAGTCCCGTATTGCTTGATACGGGATCAAAACTTTTGTATCGCCTAGTAGCGGGCAGTCCGTGTGCCAAGAAGCTCTCGGACCGGTACATACCGCCCATACTGGGCGGTACACATCAAAATTAAAAACCTTGGCATTTCGATGGTTCGTGGAAAGTTCATTGGGATTAAAGATTTCCATGATGAATAGAAAGTCCTCAAATTAAGTTTTCTTAACTAATGGTCTTGTTGCAGCATAATTTTATTTGAAATGAGAATCCTTAATTTGTGAGCTCAGATTATCTGGAAGCTTACCATCGGCTCACTGACATATTTGTATCTTTAAGATGAATTGTATTTTTCCTTGAGCATAGATTGTTAGTTTCTGGTTTTCTTTTCTTATAAATTCTTCCCAAGCACAAAAGTTTTGGCTGTAGGAGCTCAAGTTGTACCCAAAAGAGTAGACCTTTTAGCTAACTATACATTTAAAATTTTATTTAAAAAAATTTCCCGTTCATAGTTTAACCCGTATGAGAATTTGGCTGGAGGTCTAAACATTGACATCATGTTGACAGCTGAATTTGGAATCTTGTCAACTTGTCTTATGTAGCCTCCTTGTTTTTAAGTTTTGCTTTATAATTGATCCCATTATAAGTTTTTGATGATTTGTATGTTGATTTTCATATGAAACAAGTATATGAAGTTTACATAAGAGTGACATCGATCAACTATTAGCACAGATATAACTAGTATCTGTATCGACACTATCTGCATGCTTTTATCAGTCAATGCCAATGTGTACAAGCTAAAACTAACTGCTTGTGGGTGAATCTCAAAGGTATACTGTTAGATTCCCACAGATTTTCCGTTTTTGTTCCTTTTTTTCTATTTTTGTTCCTCAAAATTTGTGGTGGAAAGTTGTTCCTCCCAAAAATTTTAGAAAATTGGACTTAGTCTTAACAGACAAAACACTGGAACATTGTTACCAAACATGTTCCGTGTCATCATAAGAAAATGCAGATTTTCATTCTTTCCGACAACAAAACAGTAGTTGGCTAGTCGACGGAGAGTGCAATATGCACATCTGCCTTTGTTTCATGTTCTTGTTGTTTAAACATACATACCATAGTGAATGGGTTTCATTTATTACCATCAGATTTATCTGTTTATTTATTCACAGCTATCAAACAATGGTTGGGCGGAAGGTGAATGCAAAGGAAAAGCAGGTTGGTTCCCTTCTGTATACATTGAAAGGCGGGAGCGTGTGCTCGCAAGTAAGATCGTTCAAATTCTGTAAAAATATTGCTCAGGGAGGTCGGTCTATCCATCTGGGTGTTGTAAGGTGTTGCAATGTTTGGGCTTCCATAAGCTGAAACCTAGTCATATTTGCATCTTCAGTTCATTATTTTGTTCTTCCCCCCTTACGTTTCATCTGTCAATTTTGATGCCCAATTTTGTCAACTGATTACATGATTATGTATTGTGTATCTGTCCAAAATCAGGTGGATTATGCAGGGAAACAAAGTTGTTTGTTTATCTATAAGTTGAGTTGTCATGACCGTCTTTGCTTCGCAAGACATTTATACTATGGATAATGTTGCGATGCGCCCAATAGAGTTTTAATTTTTTTTACCTTTTTTTCATGAGTTATGACCATTCTCAGCTTTTGATTCTCCCAACAATGTATGATGTATATTGACATATGATGAAACAGTTAAACTCTATGATTGATTCTTGTCTTCTACCAAGATAAAGATTGAGTTCTGAAATTGTCAAACCATGTCTCTTTCTTGAACTCTCCCCTCTCTGTGTTTCGTTTGTTTCTGATAAAAAGGATTGTAATAATAATAATAATAATAATAATAATAATAGTAGTAGTAGTAGTAGTAGTAGCAGTAGCTGTAGCAGTACTGGTAGTAAACAGATCACTAAAGACATCCGATTCCATAGAATGACTTGGAAATGCAAACGTGAAATATCTCAAGGCAAACTCGATGATGCTTATTATATTCTACTACTTTGGTCTGGTGCAGCAATTATTACGGCACGCCAGCAACCATCTTTTCGAAAGCTTTAACGAAAGCAGAACACTGTTTCCTCAAACAGAAGAGAACACTCTGCAATTATTATTATTATTATTATTATTCATCAGTTGATGAGGATGCAATTAAAGCTCCAAAGATACCCAAAGGCGGTTTCACGTCATTGACTCAATGGACGGTCAATATCACATGCAGCCCATGAGTCAACCGGTAGAACTTCATATTTATTATTAAAAATAAAATAAAATATAGTTAGTTATATATATTTTAAAATATAGAATACGTAAATAACATTATGAATAAAATTTATAATATAGTAAGGATGGTCTCAAACGCACTTTAACTTTGTCTTCGGACATTGTTTGTCCCAACTATTCTGCAAAGCCAGTTGGGCCTAAAAAAGAAGATCAATTAAATAAAAAAGTAAAAATGAAAAATTCAACAGTGGCAAAAATTAGGAGAAAAATAAAAAGAATAACTCTTAAATTCCACCAAATGATTGAGGAGGTGGAGGTGTCCGGATCAAATGTTTGTAGTGGGAATTGGTGCGTTTCTATTCATCTCATTATTTTCACATTGGGAGGATGTGATCGGTTGTTGCCTTTGGCTCCGCTCCACCCACCATATTTCTCCATATACCAAACCCACTAAGACCAGAGGAGGCATCCATCCTTCCACAGACCCATCGATCACATTCTAATCATCAAATAAGATCTAAAAAGATTAAATATTTTTTTTCTTTTTTTTTGCAAAATTAAGTCATGAAAATAATAAATATTTTTCTAAAAATGGTCCAACGAAATTTTGAGCCCTCAGATAAAAGAAAACTCAATCAACAGAACATCGGTGTCCTGTGACGGGTCACCTCCTTTCTGAGTATGAGCTGAGAAGTTGCGTCATGGGATCAACGTGATGCTTGGAACGGGCAGCAGGAGACGCATGTTGTACACTTGTTCACGTAAAACAAGTACGTGCTGCTGCTGTAGTAGCAGTAGCTGAACCCACGCACCCATTACAAGCCAAAACAAAAAGCACCAGCAGAAGCAGATGTAGCAGTAACGGAGCCAATCACATTAGCAAGCATCTCTGCTCAATCCGCAACAGGGTGAGGTATAGAAGCCACTGCATACGAACAGAGATGATATCTATCGATCTACCACTCTACCTATCCATGTCTAAATCTCCATTTCGCCCTCACAAGAAAGCAGTTGTAGTCTTGCAGAGATGCCTTCCCCACCTTTGCTTAAAGACACAGAAAGCTAAACCGCTAGCTGAGTAGAAGAAGCGTTACACGAGAAGGATAGCACTACATAACGTATAAGTCAACCGGCTCGGCCGGGCCAGTGGAACGGGTCGAGAAGGAGGTGACAGGCGGAGCCGCCGCTGCCTGCTTTTTCCGGCGCATCTCGATGACCTTGCGGTGGCAGTTAGAGTGGACGTGGCTGACGAACGTGGGGCTGCACGCCGGGCGGTACTCCGGGAGGAGGCGGCCGGACTTGAACCGGACCCCGCAGGCGTTGCAGAGGGTCTTGGGACCCAGCGGGCCGGCCCTCCACTGCGGCGTCTTCTGGGCGCCGCAGTGGGTGCAGCGACGCTCGTTGGAGGCAGCTGCGGACGGAGGTGACTTGGGCTTTCGGCCGCGCTTGTTGGGTTTCTGCTGCTTGTCCGGTGGCAGGCTGCCGCAAAGGAGGATGCTTTTCTCGCCCGCGGCCGAAAGGTGGTTGGTTACTCGGTGGAAAGATAGAGCGGGAGACGAGAAAGAGGACGCGCAAGAGGAGGAGGTTGTGGTGGTGATGGAGTCGGAGGAAGATTCTGCGAAAGGGAGCGGCCTTGACACGGACCAGCAGCCTGCGGCTGTCCGGGAGCGCTTGCTCCGCTTGGCCCTGACCGGCACCACGGCTTCGGTGGAGAGGACGCAGACGGTTGGGCTCACAGACGAGTCACCTTCGATGGTGTGCGCGCGGCGGCTCTCGGCCTGGGTCTCCGTTTCGTCTGGGCTTCGAGGAGCCAAAGGCAAGGGGACGACGCCCGGGCACGACGAGAACTCCGGAAGGGAGTCGTCGATGATGAGAGAAACCCATTCCAACTCTTCCGCGTCGTGCGCCTGAACACATCAAAGCACAAGAAATGGTCACAAAAAATCGATCTTCCTTTCTTCTGTTGGTGGGGGCATGGAGAACAGGACCCACCGGGAGACTGATTTCGGAGACAGGCTGGAAAGAAAGCGACGAAGAGGAGGAAGGAGAAGGCGAGCCGGCGTTGGAGTCCTCGGTTCCCTTGTGCTCCGCTTCCTCCCCCTCCTCCTCTGCTCCCTTCTCGTTCTCGATGAACTCAAGGTTAAGGAGGTCGTCAACGGAGAACTCCTCCCCCCAAAAGTTCCCATTTCCCACAGCCCAAGCCACATCCTCGTCCGAAACCCCGTGACTCCCCTGCTGCTGCGGCTGCTGCTGCTGTAGCAAAGAAGTCTTCGGGGCCTCCATCCCAACGTCCGGAGCAAGGGAAGACCAAAGGGGGCAAAGGGGAAGAGAGGAAGAGAGGTAGGAAGAGGGAGTAGAAAAAGGAAGAGATGGTGAGCGTTTGGTGGAGCATCGAATGGCCGCCCCAAGCCCGTGAGCGTTACAAACAAGCGCGCTGTCGTTTGTACATCCCTTCCGGCCTCATCCCTGCCACTACTACCAGCAGCAGCAATTACTACATCTCTTCCGCATTTCCCGTTCGCCTGTCCTCTGTTCGATGCTTTGCCTCTACGCCTGACAACAAAAGGAAGGGGTGCCGCCCCATCAATTCCCAACAGTCCGTCTCTTTTGACGCTACTCTTTATTGATCGATCGTTGCCAAAAGAACTCGTGTCAGCTGATTTGGTTTTAAATACAAAGCGGTCTTCAAAGCGCTGTTAGACTATAATTACTGATTGATTGAATAAGTAGAACAAGTAAATGTAAATTATGCATCAACTATATTAAAAAGTAAATGTTGGTATCAAAATGATTTATTACTCCCATAAGGTAAAATTCATCTGACCTCGTTTATTATCTGAAGTACGTCATGTCACGTATCTAGATGAATCCGTGGAAGTGTTTTAGTTGAACATCACTTCAAATCCCATCTCGATAAGAATACAAATCTTTTGAATAAAATGACATTATATAATTATGTTATATATATTTTTTGAATAAAAAATATTATATAATTATGTTATTAGTATACTCATCAAAGCTTATTAGCAAAGAGTACAAAAATAGATATATTAATTATGCTTATGGATATGAGTACATGTGAAGACTCACTATCGTAGTACGTGTGAAGATGGGATAAGGGAATAAATGGGGATAGGATCTAAGTTCGTTACGCTCTTTCAATACCTTCGTTAAGGATTATTTATTATTTTTATTTACTTATATATTTATTTGATAGCATGTTTAATCTTATTTTTATATATTTTTGCTTGAAAAATATAAATATGAATAATTTTCAGAGTGACAAAGTCCATTTACCAAATGGACAAAATTATCTCAAAATGATCTAATTTTTACGTACTATGGTATGTTTTTGCAAGCTAATATATGATATGAAACATCAATTATCTTAGCACATTAGAATCTCTCGAGTGTCATAGGATTGGATGGAGGCTTCGGGTAGTGTCGAACATTGATTGTATTCATAAATTTGCATATAAAGCCTATGAGTACTTTTACCATTGTGCTCGTCACCCATCGTGTAGTTGTTTGTGGATTTGTGACTATTTGTTTACATTTTAAAGTCTTAGTTTTTTCTTTTCTCTCTTGTAAACTAAGTGTTTGCTGAATTATTTATAAAGCTTTCATTTTTTACGAGATATCGAAACTTATCTATTATTTATTTTTAGAACTAATTAATTTATTATTTTATAGGTCCTTTAAGTGTTGAGCGAGGTTACATTTAGGCTGACCCTTTGTAGACAAATAATGCAAGGCTATTCCACAAGTTAGGTAATTTCAACTAAATCTATGACATTTGGGATCAAAGTAGACAAACGATTGGGCAAACAATGAAAGTTCATAATCTCACCATGGTGAAGCATCGTGACAAATTGAACAAGATGGGGGAAACTGAACTATTACCCCAAGCAACCACAAGTGGCTACAAGTGTAAAGTCGCTCTCAAGTTGTTGGAGCCATTTAAGAGGAGCACGACAATGAGGATGACACGAGAAGTTAGCAGGGGAATTACAATTTGGATCACCAATTGGAAAGCACAAGAGTCACAAGGAGAGACTTATTGATATGTAAACCAGTTTGATATTCTTGAAGTGAGCTTAGAGGAACTATAACAAGACCAACGAAGACTCTTTAAGGTATTCAACTTGTAAGAGAAGACAAAATCTAGGATTGATATGGTCAAGT